AATATTATATTTAGATTTATTCGTACACAAGCTGTACATGAACGAATAACAACAAATCAAAATAAGCAAAAAAAAAACTAATAAAAATAAAGATTTTTTTCGTTTTCAAGAAATAATTGATTGTTGTCTATATTTTTCACAACAAAGTAATCTTGATAAACAAACAACAAATACTTCAATATCAACAGTTAATTTACTTCTTGCAAGATCATTAACAAATAAAGAACAACAAATAGTTGAAAAAGATGGTAAATCGATTTTTTTGAAAAATAAAAATTCATTTCTTTTTAACATAGGAGTAACTGTACAACATATTGATGATTTCCACCGTCGTTGGAGACAACTAACACCGGAGAAATGATTAAGAAATTAAAATTATTTGTTTAAATATATATAACTTCGAAAAAGAGTTTTTTTTAAAATAAACTATTTAATACTGTTAAGACAAGACATTACATATTTTCCTTTACATTTAAAATAGTATGTCGTCTACTACTTTCATCATTTGATATCTATAAATAAAATAAATCCGTTTTTTATGCAAGTTCTAGGTATATTATTTATGGAGTAAAATTATTGCCTTGCATGTCGTTAAGTAAATAACAATAATCTTGAATAAATTTTATTAGGTCTTTATTCATAATTATTACAAATTATGTCTTAAAAATAAATAGAAAAAGACATTCTTTATGCTAATCACTTTCACTTGTCCAACATGCACGACAACATGATATACAACCTTGAATGAGAGCCCAAATAATTGTAATAATAAGTAATATAAATGTTGATTTATATAGAAAAGGATCACAATAAGTATTTTTCAATGGATCATGAAATTGTACTCTTGAAGCATTACTAAATACCCATATACAACCCAAAATAAACCATATAAATACAATTATTGAAATAATAATTGTTGCTATGACATTTAAACATACACCACAACTAGCCATCAAAGTTAATGATGCTGAATCAGGTATAAAACATACATATGTACTAGTATGAAAAGAAAATTATTTTTAGATAATACAAAAAATATTATATTTTAATTTACATAGACAAAAAGAGAGATAAAGCAACCAATATTAGACCACATATACCAATACCGATCATATATGTTGCAATAAGTTGATTAATTGGACACTCTCCTTTATAATACAAACCAATTACTAACTCAATGATTGGAATACAGGAAAGAGTTATTACCGAACTACAAAAATCATAATTATTAGTTTTTAGTTTATAAAAACTGTACATACATAATAAAATAAGTTGTGCCAAACTTACGACCTAGAGAAGCAACTCGTGAATGCGATGATGGTTCGTTGGCAGGTGTCAATGGAACAGTTTCGCTGGTTTTATTAGTCCACATTTTTGAACTCATTTCTGTTGAATTATAAAAACTAAGTACGCGACTATTGTTATTATGATTATTTTCGCGATATTTTTTCTTTGATTACCTATCCATGATATGCTTTCAACCAGAACATATCCCATTGCTTTAATCTTCTCCTATTTGCTTATGTAAAATATGGATATTACTATTCTGTATCTTTGTTAAAACATGACTAAAAATATATTAATACCTAATAAAAAAAAGAAGGATACGGTAGAATAAATCATCGATTAGTAATATATTGATTAAGATGCTACATAAAAAACTTTGCTATTTCTGATATTTTTTTTTGAAACAATATTTTTAATATGTCAGGTAAGAAGTGAGATATTATCAATTAATTATATCATCAAATATTTTATCTGATAATCGTTATATAAATAATAAACAAGATAAAATCTTAAACGTAAAGGTAATGACTAATTTTACTACGATTAGTCATTTCATTAAATTTCTAAATAATATTCAATATTCCATATGAATAAATAATAATAAATGTTGAATATAGAAAAATTTTATTTTATTCATGAAAAACATATGTTTATAAATGTCTTTGTCTTTTCATTTGTCTTAACATAATCATACGCTCTTTATCAGATTTTAATTGTGCTTTTCCAACGTTACAACAACGAAAGTACGAACAACAACAACCTATAACACTTATAATATATGACATAATTATTATTGTAAAAGCAAATTGATACAATGTTCGTTGACAATAATTAGGTGATAATAGATTATCCAAATCAACTTTACTATGTACGCTAAATACCCATACATTACCCTATTTTAAATTTATATATGATTTTTATATTAATCAATTATGCAATTTCTACTTACCACAATAAACCAAAAAAATAAGAAAAAACTCATTAGAAGTAAAACTAAACATATCGAACCAATAATACATCCACTAATAATAGATGCAGCATATGCATCACAAATACCTGAGTCAAGAGCAAGTTGTTTAATCCACAATATATATGCAAGTGTCTGGATAAATTAAATAAAATTTATTTTTTTAGAAAAATTCAAATAATTATTTATTACCATAATTATGGTAAGAACTATAGTTGCAATACCAAATGCACCTGATACAATGAGGTATGTGGGAATATTTGGATTAACTGGACATTGATTTTGAAATGATGCACCAATTGCTAATTGAAGTATGGGAATAACAAGTAAAACGCATAAAAGAACAAAAATAACAACAGAAGTAATAATACCATCTGAAGGACTACTTTCAAGTCGTGCCTCATCCTCACTCGTTGTTGTAGATTCGCTTTCGTTGTCCATGTTAGTATGGAATGAATTATACACATATAATCAATGGTAACTTTAATATATATAGTCACGAGTGTTCTGTTCTTATATGTTATTGTAATGGTGTGAATTTGAATTATAATACATAGATGATTTATTGTATATATTTATATTCGTAAGAGATAGAAGAAAATTTTGTCATTCTGATTATCGATTGACATATGTAAACAAATATTTCATTCATTCTGCTTATTTTTTCTTTCGTAATGTGGTTGTTTTTTCAATACCTATCACTTTCAATATATCAAATGGCATATTTTATTGGTTGATTCATACGAAAAACGTTGTATTTCATGTAATTACTTTCAATGTTCCAAAAAAAAGAAAATAAAGATATACCTTAACAAAGCTTGGTGTTCTATTCGTAAGAAATATAAAAACATCGGATTATACATGCGATAAAATGTGACATTTTCTTTTTTTCTCATTGTTTAAAAGCGGTATAGTTATAAAATGCATTGATGAAAAAGAAAAGGCGAATGAATAATTTTATATCTTAACAATTTATTCATATAGCTACTGCTTTCGAATATAACAAAAGCAGTGCAAATAATTCTACGTTAAAATAATGCAAGCAGAAAAGAAACATTACAGAGGACATATGATTTCAATATTCCTAATATAATGTGAAACATCAAGAAAATTTTTAGTGACATACTGATGACCATAGACTAAATCGATTATATGTGAAATTTAAAAAAGTTACAATCAGGAACTAATAAGTTATTTTATAATATGTGAAAAAATTTATAATAGTTTTGAAAACCTTCAATTTCAAATTTCAATCAAAAGGAATATAAGTGACATCTATAAGAAAATATTATATACACCATATACAAACTTAAGGAAAAAATAAATTTGTTTAGTCTCTTTTTCATAAATTCATAGTTATAAGTTTTCTATTTAGATCATATATATTAAATATTAATATTCAAAGATAAACTATTTAAGTAATATTTAACTGCAACATATTGCTCAAAATATGCAAACATTTCACGTGTATTGTCTTATGATTGTCATTAAAAATATACTATGTAACGGATCATCTTGAATTCTCTTTTTTGAGATGCAAAAAGAAGTATCTATATAGCTCTTCATATATATTTTTCATTACATTAATGCGAGACATATTTTTTGAAGGATGAGTAGATGGGAATGAAGGTGTGTGTGGGTGGTTATGGATTTGAGTATGAGGACGAGTGATGTAACTGTGGTTATTGAGTTTAATACATCCACTCATGTCCTCCTACACAAACCTTTAAATTTCAATTATTATTTTCTAATATTTCATTCGTAAAATCTACGTGAAGCGAATTAATAGTTTTTTACATATGCATCACGAAAAACAGAAAAAATAAATAAACAATGAATTATCAAAACCCTCAACTAAGAGGTTCGCATTCTAATAATCTATTTTGTTTCTAGTACTTGATTTGATTATTAATTATAAATCTTGAGTATAGAGAAAGTTTATTTTATTCATGAAAAACATATGTTTATAAATGTCTTTATCTTCTCGTAATAATACGATTTTGATTATGTTTTTAGTGCTTTTCCAACTTCACAGCAACTACGAAAGCATGAGCAACAGCAACTTATAACACTCATAACGTAAGTCATAATTATTATTGTGAAAGCAAATTGATACAATGTTCGTTGACAATAATTAGGTGATAATAGATTATCCAAATCAACTTTACTATGTACGCTAAATACCCATACATTACCCTATTTTAAATTTATAAATGATTTTTATGTTAATCAATTATGCAATTTCTACTTACCACAATGAACCAAGCAAATAAGAAAAAACTCATTAAAAATAAAATTAAACATACCAAACCAATAATACATCCACTAACAATAGATGCTCCAGCAGTACCTCGTTTAATACACAATATAAATGCAAGTGTCTAAATAAATTAAATTAAATTAAATTTAGTTTTTAGAAAAATTCAAATAATTATTTATTACTATGATTATAGTAAGAACTATAGTTGCAATACCACATGCACCTGATACAATGAGATATGTGGGAATATTTGGACTAACTGGACATTGATTTTGAAATGATGCACCAATTGCTAGTTGAAGTATGGGAATAACAAGTAGAATGCATAAAATAACAAGGCAATAAACAGAACCAAGAATTGCAGCTAAAGGTCCTGGAATAAATTTAAGTTTTAACTCATCGTCACTCGTCGTTGAAGGTCCGCTTTCGTTGTTCATGTTAGTATGGAATGAATCATACACATATAATCACTGTTAAGTTGAATATATATATATAGTCACGAGTGTTCTGTTCTTATATGTTGTTGTGATGGTGTGAATTTGAATAATAATACATAGATGATTTATCGTACATATTTATATTCGTAAGAAATCGAAGAAAATTTCGCCATTCTGATTGTCGATTGGCATATGTAGAAAAATATTTCATTCATCCTTCTTATTTTTTCTTTCGTAATGTGGTTGTTTTTTCAATGCCTATCACTTTCAATATATCAAATGGTATATTTTATTGGTTGATTCATACGAAAACGTTGTATTTTATGTATTTACTTTCAGTGTTCCAAAAAAAAGAAAATAGAAGTACACCTTGATAAAGCCTAGTGTCCCATTCGTTTGCAATAAAAAAACATCGAAGTCTGTACGCGATAAACTATGACATTTTCTTTTTTTCTTATTGTTTAAAAGGAGTGTACTTTTAGAAAACATTGATGAAAAAGAAAAGGCGAATGAATAATTTTACATCTTAACAATTTATTCATACAGTTACTGTTTTTGAATAGTTTTCGAATACAAAAAAAGCAGTGCAAATAATTCTACGTTAAAATAATGCAAACAGAAAAGAAACATCACATAGAACATGTGATTTCAATATTCTTAATAGAATGTGAAACATTAAGAAAATTTTCAGGAATATACTGATGACCATAGACTAAATCGGTTATATGTGAAATTTCAAAAGATTACAATCGGGAACCAATAAGTTATTTTATAATATGTAAAAAAATTTATAATAGTTTTTAAAACCTTCAATTTCAAATTTCAATCAAAGCAGAAAATATATGACATCTATAAGAGAATTCCAGTTGATGATTATATATATTTTTCATGAATTCATAATTATAAGTTTTCTATTTAGATCATATATATTAAATATTAATATTTAAAGATGAGCTATTTAAGTAATCTTTAACCATAACATATTGCTCAAAAGATGTAAACATTTCACATGTACTATCTTATGACTGTCATTAAAATTTGTAGTTTCCTTTCTGAGAACTGACATTAAAAAAATGCTATATAACGGATCATCTTGAATTCTCTTTTTTGAGATGCAGAAGGAAGTATCTATATAGCTCTTCACATATGCGCCTGACTTTTACACTACCTCGAAGCTATGTAAATAATTTTGAATATTCATATTGAATACTCATCCAAAAAGAAATCTAACGATTTGATCCATGCCTTTTTGACATTTTGACTTGGTTTAAATAATAACAACAAGCAAAACTAGCTGTTACTCATTCAACAGAAAAACTAATCTTATATTTTTTGAGAGTGTGGGTGTAGGTGTATAGGTGTGAGTGGGTATGTATTTGAGTATGAGGATGATTGATGTAGCTGTTGTAATTGAGTCTAATACATCCACCCACATAAACCTTTAAATTTCAACTAAAATCCTTCGCATTCTAATAATCTATTTTGTTCCTAGTATTTGATTTGATTATTAATAGTAAATCTTGAATATAGAGAAACTTCATTTTTATTCATAGAAAAAATATGTTTATAAATATCTTTTTCGTTTGTATAATTAAGTTATTTTCATCATTTTTTTAATAGTTTTTTTGCTCCAAAACAACTACAAATGCATGAGCAACAGCAACTAATAACCATCATAATATAACTTACAATCAATATCCAGAAAACAAACTGATATAATGTTCGATGACAATAATTACTTGATGATGTATTATCCAAATCAACTGTTGAATATACTCCAAATATCCATACGTTACCCTATTTTCAGATTGAATGTGATTTTTATTTCAACAAATTATATGATTTCTACTTACCACAATAAACCACGGAGATAAGAAAAGACTCATTAGAAATAAAATTAAAAATACAATACCAATGATACATCCAGTAATAAACGATGTGCCTTTGGAATCTTTTTTAAATAAACATATGAATGCAATAGCCTGAATAAATTAAGTTAAACATATATTCGGGAAAGAAATTATTTATTACTATAATTATGGTAAGAAGTATAGTTGCCATACCACATGCACCTGATACAATAAGATATACTGGAATATTCGAATTAATTGGACATTGATTACGATATTCTGCACCAAATGCTACTTGAAGTATTGGAATAATAAGCAAAATAAATAAGACAACAAGACAATAAACGGAACCAAGAATTCCAGTTACAATATCTGGAACAAAACTAATTGTTTTGCGCTCTTCGACCAATGTTCCAGACATGTATAAACTAGTAAGCGATGAACTACTAAGAATGAATTACTGTGAAGCGAAATACCTATATAGGTGTCAGTGTTTTGTTTCTACTTATTAATTGTTGATGTTGCTGTGGTATCGTTCCGTAGTAGACTGTGCTGACAATTTACGCTGAAGGTCTTTCTCAATAAAAAAAAAGTAAAAATGTCGTCATTTTGACCGTCGATTGACGTATGTAAAATTAAATTTACTCTCTCCCACGACTGTTTCTTTCGTTACTATTGTGACTTTTTCAAAGTCTTCCAATTTCAATACTTTAAATGGTTTAGTTTATGTAATTGACCTGCGTGAAAAATAAAAGACTTTATTGCGAACGTTTTCGATCTTTCGAAAGAACAAAATAGGTACAAATCTTGATAAAACCATATGGTCTATTAGTTTTCAATATAGAAAGATTTCTAATGAATAAAGTATGTAATTATAAACACCATATAATTGAATTTTGAACATAACTATAAAAAAACAGAAGAATGAATAATTTTATCCATATAATTCCTTTCTAAACAATCGTATTGATTTTATTAATCTATAAGAATCTTTTAATTAAAATTCTAGTCATGAAAGAGCAATGACAATTATACGAAAGTCTTTGTCAGTAATTCTTTTTTTTATTTTTGAATTGTATTTAAAAAGTAATTATATATCTATATTTATATTTTGAAATGAAATAAGTAGGCGAATAATGTTTGCAGATGTGATGACATCATCTACATTTTTCTAGTCAATAATAAATCTTCTTCAATTATATGTCATCATTCTACGTTCGTTCATCACCGTTTACATTGTTTGCTCTTGTATATGGAGATAAATACTACTACGCAATATTCCTTTTGAATGAAGAAGAAGAAAAAGAAAAACGAATGAATGAACACTTCCTTTTATCAAATTCCAAAATAGAACAGTATTAAATCTATGATTGAACAACAATGTATTTTTATCTTCGTGAACCATTATCATCTATAACAAGTAGTAATACATCATTTTCATCCGATAATTCTTATCTACCTAATATTAATCCATCAGCTGGTCTACGTCAATTATCTGTAGATGAACTTGATGAAATTAATTCAACTGGTTTCAATCGTCAAGATTCAATACAACGAGAATCATATAATATTTCACGTTCATTATTTGCTATACCACGTCCAACTATATATTTACCTACGAATAATTTATTATCGACACCTTGTACAAGATTTACACATGCACGACAATCATCTAGATCATCAGATCCATCTTTAAGAACACATCATTGTGAACGACCAATCTATCAAAATGTATCATCACTTCCAGTTCTTCCTCCAGTAATACCATCATATCCTATTCAATATCAAATTCAACGATATGCAACAATTCCTGTTACTCGTTCAAAAAAACAACAAAAATCTAGACGCGAAAGACCTCCAGGTTTATTTACAACTCTTTTTACCGGTGGTTTTAGTACGATTTCAGTACTGATTTACTTAATATTTCTCCTTAGTTTACCTATAGCTAAACTCGTCTTAGGTATTCTCTATATGAAAGAATGTCCTGTAAATAGAAACATTCCATTATATATGATCGTCGCTGGTGCATGTGGTTTAGCTCTTGTTATTTTATTACTTCTTTCATCTGCATGTACACTCTGTCGATCTACAGCTAATACAAAAAAACCATATCATTGTTTAATGATATGTACAATTAGTTTAGCTCGTGGTTTACAAGGTGTTATAGGTATATTTCTTTTTATTTGGTTTTTATTTGGTAATATTTGGATATTTAATGCACGTGTTCGTGTTCGAACAGATAAACCAAATGATATAAATAATTATTGTCATCCAACACTTTATTGGTTTGCATATTATATTTTAATTTTTACTTATATCTATGCATTTTTAACTTGTTGTATTAAATTTTGTCTTAATTGTTTTTGTTGTGGTGCATTTAATGAATGGCATAAAGCATTTTCATAATAATACATAAAATATTATAAATTATTTTAGTAGTTTTGTATATACTTCATATGAATACAACAGATAAGACGACAATATCGATTAATTACTTTTTTGCGTTTAAATTTTGTATATTTAAGACACGAGACAGAAAGAGAGAGAGAGAGTATAAAAGATGCAGTTCATTTGTCACGAAAACTATGATGACCATAATTGTGGTATGTATATATATTGAACAGAAGAGACAAGAAGAAGAAAAAAAAGAAAGACGAAACGAGGTCAACATCATTGCATTCATTTCTTTCTTATGTATGTTATAGATATGAGAAAAAAAGACGACCGACATTTGACGAAGCACTTGATTGATACAAAGCAGTACTCATTTATATACAGACGGTGACGTCAAGCTTCTATTTTTTCCAAATGAACATAACGTATAATGACTTCTCATATTCATTACTTTAAGTTATATGTTTTGTATGCAGACAGACTTATACGAGCAAGTTCTTCTTTTTTCATAATATTACTTTTTATTGTAGTGTTTGTATATTCAATGAGATGAGCACATCGAAAGAGAAAAGAAGTTTATCTTATATATCTATATATCCTAGAAGTATGATGAATGTATGAAAGTTAGTGAAGTACAAGGATCATATTGATCGATAATATAATAGAAGAACAAGATACTACTTGTTTCGTAATCATCGTCCTTCTTTTCTTTAAATATCTTCTTTTCATAAGCTACATATGAAAAGAAGAAGGCCATTACATATATCCAAGTAAAATGATATATGATATTTCTGCCATTGAACAAACTAGTTGTCACAATATTCATTATCTTTTTGAGTTTTATTCATACTTTATTTTTCTTTCATTTTTTTCTCTCTCTCTTTCTTTACACTTATGTATGCTTTCATTGATTGTATTACATAAGCAAAACTATGAATTATATGTATACGTGTGCTCTTCACTACATATGGATGGATGCACTTTATTATATATCCAATTTCTTTTCTTTACAAACAAGAAACTATATTTATAGGAGTCGTTTTCAAATGAAAGTAATGTCGTTGATTTTTTTTCTTCTTATTCAACTGTATAAACATTAACACGTAGTAGAACTTATCCTATAAAATATAATTATGATTTATTTGCTTATATTTCTTGCAAAGATATATGTTCTTTTCTTTTCCTTGGTAGTTATCGTTATGCGTCCTTCGAGATATTGATAAGAATACAAACAGGTCAATCGAAGAATCGACTGATGATTCTTTCTTTTTCTTGATATATCAATAAGCAGCCAATTTCTACTCATTTACACTTCTTCTTTCTTACTATTTGTGTAACTCCCTTCATTCAATGACAGAACAAACATGTATATACATAGTTTTGTTCAATGTCGTCCTTTCATTCATATCTTATTATTCAATATTGGTCAGATAATTACATCATAATCATTATAGAATAGAAGCAGGTCGATTATACTATTCGATATATACATATAGAGTCGAGTAATCGTGTATCCTTTCTTATACATATTATTCAAATTCTTTCTCTCTGTCTCTTATACATTTATTTCTTCACATGCCAATGTAAGGTATAGATTGCTATCAGCATATATCGTCTAGACACGACAGTATATGTCTATATTAACAAAACAGGTATTGTTACCTATTTAAATTCATTTTAGATTGATTAATGATCAATTTATTAATCAATGGAACAGTATTTAAATTTAGTTTGGAAAAATTATACTGCATCATTATCTCAAAATTCTAATGAAAATTCTTTAGATGAAAATGATGATGGTAAGATATAAATATGACAAAAAAATTATTGATGTTTTTTTTCTATTTTTAAGCATCAGATTTATTTGTTAATAATAATCTACATTATAATATTCCATTTTGGGTTGGTGTTATTGTAATCACGCTACTTTTCTTATCAGCACTCATTGCGACAATACGTTATTGTGTTTATACTTTATGTTCAACACAAAATGGTAAGTTTGTTATACGTATTTTTTGTATTACATCTCGACAATTTCATCTTTGACTTAGCAAAAAGACGACATAGATATCTTACCTTGACTTTTTTGTATTCTTTCGAATCGAAATCTTTTAAATAATATTTCTATGTCTATGATTGAGTTACATCTGTGATTAATCGTTGAATAAATCTTTTAAAAAGTTTGACATTTTTTTTTAAATTGAATTTAGAAACAGAAAAATTGACTTTAATGCCTCCAAGATCACCATGTATTTCATCAAGTGCTGTTACTACAATTCAACGTCATAAACGTCAAATACCTGATTCAATTTCACATAATTTATCAGACGATAATGAAATTTTATCGTCATCATCTCCTGAACAATCACATGGTTATCAATCAGATATATCGATTATACCAATAATTCGTCCGCATACTCGTTCACATCTTACTTCTAAACATAGCCATCGTACTAAAACTGACATTAATAATCATAATTTCGCATCAAATAATAAAATCACATTTTCTCAAGTTTCGAATGATTTTCAAAAAAAAGTTCATGATATATATGTTCTACCTGTTTCACCAGCTCTTTCATCGACATCATCATCAACAAATATAGATGAATTAACGAAAACTGGTTCAAATACAATGCCCATTCGATCACGACGAAATCTACCACCCACAACAAATATTCACAATGAATCTATATATCATGGTATTAAAAATGCTTGTTTTACTGATTCACCACAAATAAAAAATCGAACATTACCATGGTCACATACTAGTACATTACGACATATTCAACCACCTCTAGAACCTCCACCACTACCGCCATCAATTCCACAAGTACAATTCAATGATAATATTAAATCATTTGCAATCGATTCCAATTCAGATACAATTCATTTAGGTTTTAATACCAATGAAAAAAATCAAATAAAAAAAGTTATACCACCACCTGTACCTTGTCGATCACAAAAACCATCAGTATCATCAATTATGTCTGAAGAATCAACAAAACAATCGGACAAAACTGATTTACAAATAATTATCGATTCATCTCCACAAGATGATTCTTCGGAACATACATGGCCTAAACCACCTGAATCTATGTCAACATCTGAAATCATTAGTAGACCATCATCAATATCTTATGATCATTTAATACCAACTATAATTATGCATGAAAATAGTATAGGTAATCTCTTTCATCAATATCGACATAACGAACATTCAATATTAACAGAATCAGAAACTTAATGCAAATATATTGTAATTTCTCTTTTGCTATTCAGGACACGAATAATTATTATTGAATAATAGTGTTCGATAATTTTATTTTGATTCCTGCTCATTGGGCATGACCTTTTTTTGTTTATTGGAATGAATTATTATTATAATAATAAAAAATATTGAATAACAAAATTCAATCATTTTAAAATTTTAATTTAGATTGATTTATAATAGAAGCAAAACCTATGTATCGTGTGAGAACTATCTAATACATGCTGAAAAAGATACTATGATTCGTTATAAAATTCACCATTGAAGTTTTTTTTAATATTTCTCACGTCAACAAACAATGATCAATAATAATTACAATAAAAACATTAAAAAGATTTATACTGAATGAACAACATAAGAAAGACAACAATCATCTTTATTTTAAATATGAATCCATCTCTCATACATGTCATATTTGATTACAATATTGTTCATGTCTATGTAGCTGTTCATTCATTAATAACATTTAAGTGAGTAAGTGAGCAGTTTATTCAAGCGTTGTTGATGTGATTTTAGTGGTAACTGTCATATGTATTTGTCATTTGAAGTAGAAAAATAAAAAAATAATCGATGAAAGTTTATATTTATATTGTTAAAATTGACCCCAAAATGATGCTGGTGACGATGGCATTGGTGTTTGAAGAAAATTTGCTAAATAATAAAAGAAATTCGAGTTTTCATCAAAAAAATCAATACATACACATAGGATTTGACTGATAAGCAGTTTGATCGAAAGATTGATACGCTGGTGTTCTTGGTGGAAAAGAAAAATCTTCATATGCATTTACTAATTAAATAATAATAAAATTTTATTTAATATTAAAATAATATTATTACCTGTCGGTAATGAATATGAATAATTCGTTGAGGGTGTAGCTAAATTTTGTCGATAATCAGGTGAAAAATAATATTGTGATATATCTGGATCAAGTAAAAAATCGGGCAAGGATTCTGATGGTTGAGGAATAGATACTGATGGTTGTGGAGTAAACGTTGAAGGTTGAGGACTAGATATTGATGATTGTAGCGTATATCCCGACGGTTGCGGTATAGACATTGATGATTGTGGAATAGACATTGATGACTGAGGTATAGACACTGATGATTGTAGAGTAAAGTTTGATAGTTGAGGTATAGACATTGATGATTGTGGAACAGACCTTGATACTTGAGGAGCCGATATTGATGGAGTAGCTATCGGTTGAATAGTTCTATCTGTTATTAATGTCATTGTTGATGATTCACATGCAGTATTTGTATAATTTCCAGTTCGTAATTTTTCTTCACGACGCCATTTAGCTCTTCTATTAGAAAACCAAACCTATGTTTTTTTATATTATTAGAATTTGATGATTGTAATTATTTAAAAAGAAAATTTACTTGTATACGATTTTCTTGTAAATCAATCCTTGAAGCTAAATGTTCACGTGCATAAACATCTGGATAATGTGTACGTTCAAATTCTAATTTAAAATATTAGAAGAATTAGAAAAAAAACAACAAGAATGAATCATTCTAGTTTACCATTTTCAAGTGCACCTATTTGCCTTCGAGTAAAAGCTGTTCGATTTCGATGTGCTTTTGGTTTAGATGAGATTTCAGAATCTTGATCACTATTTATATTTTGTTCATCATAAATATTATTATTCTCTTCATCAAAGAAATCATTTCCGACTTCCTCATTAAAGTACGTTGTATCTAAACCAACTATTCTTTTTCTTATTATATTCTATATCAATAAATATCATTACTTGTATCATACGTTGAGTTACAATAAGCCCATGTATGTGATGGATCTGTATTTTGAAATACTGGCCAAATTGATGGAGTAGTTGATGTATTAAATAAATTGTCGTAATTAAATTCATACGTTTGATATGGACAATCTGGCGTAGATTGTATTGATGATGAAGATGATAAATTACGTAGAACTCGATTAATAGAGGATACCTAAGAAAGAATATATCTATTTATGAAAAAAAATAAAACTAAAGAGATATGTTTAAAATTACACTGGGTAAATTTTGACGTTTACATATACGGTGTTTAAGAAGATGTTCACGAATTTCCCATGCAAATATTGAGGGATTATCAGCTTTGATTTGAGCAATTTTTGTGACAACACCTAAGAAAAAATTATATATATGCATATTAATATGAAGTCTTATTGAAACCTGGAGTAGCTACACGTGGCTTTGAACCACCAATAGCTTTTGGTTTAATAATACCGGTTTCATTAAATCGTCCCAGAATTTTCGATACACATCCATTTGATACTAAAAAGATAAGAAAAAGAAAATTTTTATTTAAACTAATCAGTTTCTACCTTGTAATTTCCGTGATATTTCACACGGCCTTGCACCTTGTCGAGCCAGTTCAATGATTCGATATCGTATTGTTTCTGGTAATGGTCGGCCGTTAACAAAAACACCACCTAATTGATTAACACCGCTATGACCTATGAAATAAATCATACACAATCATATATTTCATATTATTTTTACCTTCTAAAATAATTCTATACATCATCAATAAAAATATATTTCATCTCTCACTGAAAAGGGGGCAATGATTTTCTCTTCCATTATCTCATGTAAATGAATCACATATGATGAAATCTAATTTTTTTTTGTTATAGAGAATTCTCTAAAGAAAAAGTTAATAGACTTGTCACATAGCGTCGACAACATAAGGCTTCAGAAAATCATTCTTTTATTAATTCACAGAAATTTTTCTTTGTGTAATTATTTCATTACACCTACACGAAAATAATCATGACAAACAAATTAAATTTACCTTATATATTAACTTTGATAAGTGAATATTAAACAATAGTATTTAAATAAATAAGAATAGTTGACAATCTAGTCACTGTGTGATACACCTATTTCTTTCTCTCTCTCTCTTCTATTTCGTTTTTATTTGATAATGATATATATATATCATGATTTGATTGGTGTTGACAAATCATATTTTGCACGTGTACTCATTCAAAATATATCTCTTTTCTCTCTTATTCTCTCGTTTTTCGTTTTGTAATACAATTTCCTTTTTACAAAAAAAAATAAATGTTGATTATCATATCAACGTTACTTATTAGTATCTGATCAGATATTTCATATACTGTATATCACATAAACAAACTTGATTTTTTTTCTCTTTACTATTGGATATTCTTTATTGATTGGTAGATAAAAATTATATTTCTCCAATAATCAATCGATTTTAATAGATAATATCTTTTACTTCTTTGTATTCTCGATTCCTTCATCCATATCAAATCGATATGACTAAAGTAACAATGTCTATGCATCTAAATATCCTCTAACTGTCTATCAAATAGAAGATGCACCTTTATATAAATAAAATATTTCGATAGATAATGTATTGGAAAAAAAAGAAGATCATTGAATAATTTCATATAGCCTACAGCAGTATATAAAATATTTTGATATGAGAAAATTTAGAAGTCGGCGATTTCAATAGATTATATCATTAAACTTAAATCTAGATTTTATTTAAATATTAATAAGTCTTTAAATCGATATCTACTTTTGTATATAATGTAGCAAAAAAAAGGAGAAGGAGTAAAATATCATGATTGGATACATGATTGATGAAGCGTAAAAGATAAAGTAAAATATCTTAATATTTAACTCGTGTTGTTTTTACAGTAAATTTCGTTTATGATAAATACTATCGATAATATAAATGTCGTTATTTATAATGTATAAGATATAAATGATAGATAATCAATTAAAAATAATATACGTTAAATTGATGCAAATAGGGAAGCGTTTATAGGGGAGGAGAACATTTCCAACGAAGAATATTCATATTTAGTAGTAAAGATTTTAATGTATGTCTTTATTATTAATAAAATCTATTTCTTGGCAGTAGGCATATGAACGATAGCAATAGCAAATGGAGTTAATGTTATTTGATTTGAGGTTAATGTAATTTCAGTTGGTGGTCCAAAACCTGATGCTTCATTAATAATTTGCATTTTACCACCAGTACAACCCGATAATGAAACATTCATACTAGCGTATCGTTTATTTATAATTAAAACCCATCGTCGATTATTTTTACCAGTAAATGCTTGACTAAAAATATTTTGATCACCAACATCAGTTGTTCGTGTTATAACTGCTTGATCATTATCAATATCAGCGGTGTCGATTAATAATTTTGATATCCAATATTTAGCTGTTCCTTCACCTGTTGTCCAATTAAGAAGAGCAACACTTGGATATTGAGGTTCTAGTTGAAGATTTGGTAATTGTGGATAACCTATTTAGAAAAAATATGAAATAACATAATATATATATACATATAAAATACTAACCAACTAGTTGACTATGTCCAACAACATCAATATTTTGTCGTGATAATTTTCCCCATGAATAAGCATAGAGTGCAGCGGCAGCATTCCAATAAATTAATGGAAATAATGGTGCATTAGGATCATTATCATTCGGAAGAATAACACCTAATTCATCAATAGTTGTTCGTGTTTGTGGTGAAAGATTTTTTCGAATTTGTTCAATTTGTTCGACTTCAATTGTAAATTTATCAAGTTGAGGAAAGAAATTTTCCCAACTTTGAGGATCTGTACGAGAAGTTCCTATTGCATAAAAATGATATGAAATCATATCAAGTGGAATATCTGGTGCATGATTTGAATGATTCAAGAAATATTTATAAAAATTAAATTCATTATGATCTAAAATATAGAATAAATACAAATATTTTTTTTCTACTTTAAAATTTACTTTCTAATGCCATTCCAACATATTTCATATCATAATTATTTGTATGTCTACGTATGCCTTGAATAACTGCATCATATGCTCGAGTATAATATTCAATACTCATTTGATGTTCACCTTCAATTTCATTGAATATTTCTGTATAATCCCAATTATATTCATAACCTGAATTATGTTTTAAACCATATTCATCAATAAAACCAGCTCGAGTATACCAAGCAACGACACGTCCATAATAATCACCTAATGCTTGCATTGATTCATCAACAAATTTTGTTCCAACAGGATATCCCCAATCAATATATGTAGCATTATCTGGATAGATATGTGGTGTATCTTGTTGAAAAAGCCAAGTAGGTTGAGTAGAAAATGAAATAATACGTGAATGACCATCAGTTGCATCGAGAAAATCTTCTAACATAGGATCCATATATGTAAAATTCCAATAGGTATTATTTTGTGGTGGATTACATTCCATTTGAACTAATAAACGTTTGAGTGTTCCATAACCTAAAATATAATAACTAAGTAATTTATTCATTCGAAATTAATATTTACAAGGATCTCCAAAGATATCATTGGTTGCTATAATTGTACATGATTTTTGTCCAATACATATTCGTTGAACTATACTTGAACTATTTTCAGCATGACATGAACCTTGTTTCATTTGACCACATGCACCCATAGCTGTACCGTATGATGCAAAATCAATTTGACTTATGACACCACCATTTTGTTCACAAGATAAATGTAAAGGATAATCTTCACCAACATTACCACATTGTAATAAACCTGATGGTGGATCAAGTTCGGCAACAGCTAATTTTGGATAAGGAAACCAAACAGCATAACGAGCGTATTCAGCATTGAGTTGTTTTAAATTAGCAAAAATTTCTTTACTAACTGGTGAAAATTGACGTGACACAAGTGGATTTGTAACAAGTTGTAAACTTGGTATTGTGTGAAGATCATAATCATGAGCTGTCCAACTAACTTCAATAACGATTGGATCAGCCTTAGTTTGATTATGTTGTCTATTGTCAGTTTCACGTACTGACAATAGATTGACAAATTTCAGAGTTGAACAGCATAATAAAAGTATTAATAAGCATTTATTAATATACATCTTTACAAATGATATATAACAACGACTTGCGTCCTTGTTTTTATCTTCAATCTAAAGTCAATAGAAAAATGTGGACATGCCTCAAATTATTTTTATCTTTGTTATTAAAAAAGAAAAATAATATTGATCTTTGTATAAAAACTTGCACATAATGAAATGCTTTTGTTAGTATTCTCATGTTATATTGTGAACGTGTGATTTTATTTGTTTGCATTATATTACATTTTTAGAAAAAAAATTGTAGGATTAGTTAACTTTGATCAAAATATTTTATTCATAATCTTAATAAATCTTGAGGGTGGGTGTGGGTATCTTTTTCATTCGACACCCACACTCACTCTGGTTTAAAATCATCATACTGCTCATTTAAAACTGTTAACAATGCAAGGTTCTCTTACCCGTTAAAACACTCGAATATTAATAACTGGATAATTTTAGACGCGTCTTCTTAAATAGAATTCATTGTATCGCAAATGCAAAATTTAATGTATGAAAACATTTATTACTCTTCCTCTTTCGTCGTTTACACGCCTATTTCTATCAGTTGGAAAAATTTAGTCGTGCAAACATCCAAAAACATTTTTCGTGTTTACACGCGTTTTTGCAAAATCTTATTTACTTGGGTAGCATCTAGTAAAATACGCAGCCGAAAAAGCCAGCTCCAAAACATTCCGGAATTGTTTTTGTATTTTAGCGATATCTAAATCATTCTAGTGTCTGATACAATTTTGATATTATTAGTTTTTCTAAAAACTTCTGATATTAATAGTAGTATATTTTCGTTCTTTACTTAATATATGATGAATAAAAATACGTGACTTCACAGTTAAGTATTAACACCCTTAATTTTACATCAAACAAAAAATCATTGTAATATTATAGTGACAAAGTGGATATGATAATTACAAATTCACTGTACTTATAACAACAGAATTCTTATTGACAATAATTCATAGTAAGCGTTATGCTTCAACGGCTATACTCTATCATCTTAAATAAAAAAAATTCTGTATTGAATTCATTATCATAACTATAAATGTTTATTTTAAATTATTACTATAATCAATCACATAATCAAATTTTTTATTTTGGAAAAATCTTCAAGCATTTGTTTTCTTCTATTTATTTGAATACCTAAAGTTTGAATACACTTGTGGCTTGTTGAATACCATTATAAATCAGTGTATTATCAACAGGAACATATTGATGTGTTATTAATTTAATTATCTCTTGTGCACAACAACCACCAATAAAAGCAGCAATTGAATGAAGTTCTGATGCACCATATCGACATAATTCTTCAAGTATGTCTTGTTTATTATTACTCATTATATTCTTACTAGATTGTTGTTTACTAATTTGTTTTAAATCATCTAAATCTATATCAAATTGTTTTTCATCTAAAAGACATTCACCTGGATAACGATGAAATTTTTCATAAAATATATCACATAAATGTAAACCAATATACCTTTAAAAAAAAGTAGTATAAAAATATAACAAAAAACAATGAAAGAAAATTACCAAGAAAGATCTGATTCTGTTTTATCTATTAAATCATCTTCATTTTTTATTGCTGTTGTTCTTAGAACTTTTAAAAACGATGCATTTTTACAATAAATTTGAACAAGATGATGTAAATTAAGATTATGATTTGATAAACGATTATATTTTTTTAATAAATCACAAAGATAATTATGAACAATTTCACAATCTTTTTTTGCTTGTTCTTGATAGATTTCAACAAGTTTTACATATGAATTTGTATTTGTTATCATATCTGGTACTTCACCACGAACAGGTAATAAACCTTGTCCTTCATTTTCAGTAAATAATTTTAATGCATGAATAATAAACCAAAATATTTCGGTTTGATTTGTTAATTCTAAACAAGATTGATCTTGAAATAATTCTTTAATTGTTGATGAAAGATTCGTTTTAATAAGACGTGATGGAATTGTTCGTTTTGCTTCATCGAAATTTTCAAGAGATTTATTATGATCATGAATATCATACGCTGAATGATGTGAGAACTTTTCAAGAATTTTTTTAAATTCATCTTTTTCTATACGCGTACAAGGTAAGTCATTTCGATTATATTGTTTTTGCCATTGCTGTAATGTTTTAAATAAGATAACTAGTGATGGTAGATGTAAATGTTCTTCACGTGTTAAACAATCGAAATGAATTGAATTACAATAATTACTAAATGTTATTAATGGTCGATCTAAACGAAGATCAGGTATTGTATCATCAGGATGTGCTTCAATAACATAATGTTCAAATACTTGAAGACGAATAGTACCAATAAAACTATTGAAAAGAAATATTTATAGAAAAAAGAAATTAATTTTTTTGTTCAATCTTACCCATAAGTTCGAGCAATAATTAATGGTATTTTAAGTGTCCATAAATGATTAGCAAGAATAGACAATGTTTGCATTGGAAGATTAGCTGTAATAACAATATTAAATTGACTAAAATTAAATGTATTTTGTTTAAGTAAATCATCAATAGATGGCTTATCAATATATGTACCATGTACATCAGGATTAAGTTGTGTTAAAAATTCACATGTAATACGTGCACGTGATTCATCAATCTTAGATGGATGAACAAAAAAATTCGAACCACAATCAGCTAATGTAACTAACTGATGATCAATAATTGTAAACGAACCAAGACCAGGTAAAACGAGAGCTTTAAGAATTTCTGTACCTAATGTATTAGCACCGATTAAACACACACGAGCAGATTCTAATGCATTCTGTCCATGATCACCCCAGAGACGAAGTTGACGATCATATTGAATTTGTTTTTTATCAGGTGCTGATGATTTACTCATTATAATCTGAAAGAATTAGATATCGATTCTTGAGATCTAACTAATTGATTTATCGTCCAAGTGAATAATAAATTAAATAGATTTTTCTATCACCTAAAAAAATTCTTGATCAAAACGATGTTGACTTTTAGAATATTTATAGTCTAATTATTCATAGTTCATTACTCATTTCGATTCTTTATATGTACATTTTTTTATTCTTACATGAAATTTTTTAACATCTAGAGAAAAACAAAATGCGTCACGTTGCTAACAATGATATCTGACAATATATATATATATATGTACAAAACAAATAATCTAACACGATTTTTAATCACTATCTTCATCATCATAATTAACACCAGTTGCTGCTTTACGTCGTTTAACAGTTGGATTAATTAAACTCATTTGTGTACGTTCTTGTATTTTATTGATATTTCCCTTTTGATTATTTGAAGCAAGTAATTTATTTCCATCAAAAGTTCGATTACCACCACCACTTGATCTTGATTGTACACGTTGTGCTTTTGTTGATAATTCTTTAATACGTAATTGTTGTGTTTTAACTTCAGTTAATAATTGCTCATTACGTTTAAAAACATGAAGAAGAATTTTACTTAAAAATAATGTTTTTTCTCCTTCATCTATATGTTCATAAAGTTGAAGAGTTATTGATTGTTTATTTTTTGGATGTGTAAATGTTACATTGACTTGTGAGACTTCATATTGACCATCACTATTTGTTGATGCAGCTTTTGCAAGTGTAAAATCTGCTTCATTGATACGTTCAGAAAGAAAAATCATTGTTTCACCTAATTCAGTTATATCTAATAGACGAGCATTTAATTGAAATGCTCGTTCATCTAATGATGTTGACCACATTGTAACTGAATCTAGTTTATCTAAACATGCAATTACCTAAAAAAACAAACAAAATTATCTATCATCGAGTATTATATAATTGTTACTTGTAATTTTTTTATTTTCATATCAATAAATGAAGCGAATATCATATCATCACTACGTGATCCAACTTTAAATGGTTTTCGTGAAACAATATAATCAAGATTAGATTTACGAAGTAATTCAACAAAAGCTGACATATTTTTATTTTATTATCTAGAATATTAAAGTTTAATAAATAGAAAATTTGCAAAAACAGGTTATGCAAATATAATGTATTTAAATGAATGAGAATATTGTTCGAAAACTATTTCATATAATAATTTTGCTATGATTGAAATTACAGTAGAAGTAATTTGGATATATTTTCAAATATGATAGCTCAAAATATTCTATACATCATAGAACTTTACTAAATTTCAATAAAAAATGAAGAAAATTATTTTCAAAAAGCGAAAACTGTCGACTTACTATCCAAATGCTGATAGGATTTGTAAAATAGTTTTTATTTTTTTCTTTGTATTGTCTATTAAGTCTATACTGCTAAGTTCCAATTCTCCATCCGTATTTGTTATTATAGATAGATAATGTACTACGAAATACACTCACATTAGGTGAATAAAGACTACCAAACTATAGAAATGTCTAATTTAGATAATGTAACTTAGAATTATTTTCTCAATGTACTTCAGATATAGGATACGTTTAATCTTGCCTTCCATCTAAATGATGATAAGAATCTTCAAGATATTGAAACAAATTTGTGCTCCACAACCTTAAGAAAAGAAAACTAAATTTCGATGATAATAAAAACAAGTACGAACCATTGACTATAATAAGTACAACTGGATTACAGTTTGGATATTTCTCTTTGAATAAAAAAGAACTGTATCAAGACAATCTCCATTGATTATATTGAACATTTCTGTCGAATTCTATCATATTCATAATCATCATTATATTGTTTAGTATTTTGAGCTGTATAAATCATTCTGAATATCGAATGGTGCATTTGTTAAAAAATATTCATTTAATTTTTTTTCGTCAATATTATCGAACATATTTTCCATGAAAACAATTAGAAGTAAAAAAAGATTTCTAAAAATTCATTTAATAATATAACTTTATTTTATTTTTGTCTTGTTTAATGAACTTCCTTGCTCTTTGTCTTCATAATAATGATGAATCATTTTTTTTTCATGATTGTAGGTAATCTCTCATTCAATTAAATATTAGAATAGAGGGCGCATCGTAATTAAAACCATCGTTCTTCCCATTATACATTCAGAAAAAATCGAAATTAAAGTTTTCTTTTCCTGCAGTGTATAACAATCGAGAAATAGGAATTTCTAATTTTTAGAGAAATTATTAACGCTACTACGATACTTTTTCTAAGAAATAGGGATTGACCATTACTTCTGCCATGTATGAAAGTCAAGATAATTTTCTTATTTTCAAGTTTATAGATACTGTACTTTTTTTTAATCTCAATATTCAAGGAAATATAGAAGAAATGAACAGGAATTTCTATTTCTCAGTCCTTGGGTATCTCTTGAAATCATGACATCTATTTTATATTAATTGTGTCTTTTCTTTCTATCATTGAAAAAGAAAGCAATAATGATCACCGGATATCACAATCAATATGCACATCACAAGTTTGTTTCTTAATGAAACTAAACAAAAGAATGAAGTAGTATTCTTATATAGAAATTAAGAATCGATGTTATGAATAGAAGAACATTTTGTCTATATTAATTTGATGAACTATTGTAAATAATTGTAGAAAAAGAAAAAAAAGAAATTTAATCAGCATATCAAATACATTGATAAGTGTTGTTAGCAAAAGTACTATCATATATATATATACAATCAATAAACAATTGAAAGTAAACGTGAAAAGAAATCTACACCCACGACATTGACAATACCAAAGATAGAATAGATATATAAGACACAAAACAAATTAGAAATTGCTTACATTTCATCATAAACTTCTTGAAACAGTTAGATTTTCTTCAATTTATCACCATGAAACTATCCACTGGTATTAGTCAAAATATATCTTCAAGTATTATAAAATTAAACTGGATTTTAGTTCTTGCAACTATTTTCTTTGGTATGTTATGATTAGAATTGATTGAATTGTGTTTTTTTTATAAAGAAATTGTTTTTTAATCTATTAGTTTGTTGTTCGTGTATTAATTCAAAAGCAATTGATATTGATCAATTTAATGAACATCAATTTGTTGATAGTTACTATCCAGCTATCTTATTTTCTGATGATATTGTTGAACGAGCAGCACCACGTCTTGGCCGTGCTTCACCTCGACTTGGTCGTGCATCACCTCGACTTGGTCGACGTTCTTCAGGTTATGTCGTTTCACGTTTAAATCATGCTGGTCGATATTATGTTGGAGATGATGATGCAACAAATGATTATCCAATTGAACTCGAAGCACGAGCTGCACCACGATTGGGCCGTTCTATTTAAATTGTGAATGAACAATAAAATAAATCATAAAATAAAAATTAACTTTATATATATATATATGTATTACATCTTCATAAATTTGAAAAAAAATAGAAAGAAAACATGCAAAACTTCTTAAAATACTATAAAATAAAATATAAGTGTTCGTTCGAATCTTTTTAAATTATATTTGAATATCATATAATACTAGATTTAATAAAAATTTAGAATTTTAATATATCTATCTATAAAATTTGAATAGTAAAACAAATTCGTTTTACAGAGTCTTGATAATCAAAAATAAATGAAAAATATTAATGATATGGAAACTAAGCTTATAACGTTAAAATCGAAATGGTACAAAGAAGTCACAATATAACTCGGAAGAGAGTGGCTGAACTTGTGGAAAATAAGTGAGCGGAGAAAGACACTTTCGAACGTAACTTATTAAAGTCAATAATTTAATATATTTCAACGACAACTAACCATGATAATAAATTTATCGCACAAACATGTTTATGAGGACGTTACCATTACCACTACGATGGTGAATTCTCCTTTACCGCTGAGCTTTGGAAAGTTTCTTTTTATTCCCTTTTGTGAAAGAAAGAGTTTAAATCCTCAGCTTCAAATACATAAAGTTTGTTCCTCTAAGCCTATAAGAATTCAGCACGCACTGAACCAATAAAACGTCACCTTTGACCATCCGATAAAGTTTGACCAAAGGTAATCTGAGTCGGGAAATCGGAATCTGTGGTCAGTTTTCTTTTTCTTTTTATTTACAATAATAAATGTAAATCTTAAGCGTCAGCCATTCCTAGTTTATTCGTATCTGATGCTCGAAATCAGATTCATTTGTTTTCTAATTTGTAATATTAAATGTGGCTTCGCTTAAATCAAAATAAATGTTAAAATATTGATACATTGCCTTTCGTTTAATCATGATTCAATCATATATATTGACATTCAAAAATTACATAATAAAAATAATAAATACATTATTATTAGTTAAATGAACCGAGAAAACATTGAGAAAGAATATGTCTTTTATATCATTTTGATTCTATTTATAATAAACATCATTGAGCGGAACATGTTTCTCAATTTTTGTTTAAACATGTGTGTGTGATGTTACAATAAATTATAATTCTGATATTTTTTTGTCTATGTGTAAGACTGAATCTAATATTAGATTAGATTTCTATTTGATTAGAATGATATATAAAAGGGTTGCCAAACCTTCTGATTTAACCAAGATACTCCTGATTTTTAAACTTTTCTCTTGATTTTTAATTATTTTCGCATTCAGAAGTGTTTCAAAAAGTCGTTGATTTCAATCAAAGATTTTATCTACAAGCTGTAGTTGTACAAGTAATGAAAGCAAGGAAAATATTAAAATATAATTCACTAATTGAAGAAATCATCGTACAATCAAAACAACATATTTTGCCGACCATTCATCTTATTAAGAAATCTATCGAGATTCTTATTAATAAATAATATCTGGAATGAAGTTCAGTAGATGAATATAGTTACATCATATAAATCTTTTTGTTTTCTTTTTAACGATTTAAGTATCCTCTCATATTTAAACGAGTCTCTTCAATCAAAAACATCTACAAAAGATGTTCGAAAAAAATATAGTTATATAAGTGCACTCGCAACATAGAGTTTACTTGTCCAGTTAACCATCTTTTGATCGTTGATTCTTCTATTATCTGTTTTAAGTTCGTCATAAATGATATCAATATAAAATATACTTAGTTGATTTTGTTCACTTGTGTTAAGTTGAGTTGAGAACTGTTTTCTATTCATGTTAACATACTGACCTGTTCCACGGTATGTTGATATCTATAGGAATCATGTATTTTTCTATCTTTCGTTTATTTATTTATTACATATGAATTTTTTTTTATTAAAACAGAAAGAATAATTCATAGTACTAAATAAATACTGTTCTTTTTTTTCTCTTTCTTGGTTACTTTAAACAGTCTGTTTGGTGGCCGTTCTTTTTCTTTTCCAACACAGAGAAACTTTACCTTTTTCATACACAATAACTATATATCGTGAAGGTC